TAATAAATGTCCTTATGAATTATGGAAAGGAAGGTTGCCCACCTTCAAAAGAATGAAAGTGTGGGGTTGCTTGGCCAAGGTTCAAGTCCCTTTGCCTAAACGAACAAAACTTGGAYCGAAAMCCATAGATTGTATATATCTTGGTCCCGCCAAGAATAGTGCAGCCTATAGGTTCCTTGTATACAAGTCTTAYGTTGATGATGTCAACGTCAATACCATCATAGAATCTGCAGAAGCAGAATTCTTTGAAGATATATTTCCTTATAGGGATAAAGAGGGACAATTCTCCAATCCAAGGAAAAGAGCTTGTGAGGAAACAAGTCATGATACCTTAGACCAAAGTGATCAGAACATTCATGATGAAACTTCTAAGGCTCAACAAGAGTTAGAACCAAGAAGAAGTAAACGTGGAAGAATCGCCAAAGACCTTGGTCCCGATTTTATGACCTTCAATGTGGAAGGTGAACCTCAATCCTACAAAGTTGCCATGGAGTCATCAGAGGCACCTTATTGGAAAGAGGCAATTAATAGTGAGATACATTCAATCATTCAAAATAATACTTGGAAATTGGCTGATCTACCTCCAGGACACAAACCTATTGGCCATAAATGGACATTTAAAAGAAAACTTAGACCCGATGGTACCATAGAAAACTACAAGGCTAGACTTGTAGGTAAGGGGTATCATCAAAAAGAGGGCCAAGACTTCTTTGACACTTATTCGCCAGTTACAAGAATCACGTCCATAAGGACTTTAATAGCTATTGCAGCAATTCACAATTTGGAAATTCACCAAATGGATGTGAAAACTGCTTTCTTAAATGGCGAATTAGATGAAGAGATCTATATGCAACAACCTGAAGAATTTGTTGTTAAAGGCCAAGAACACAAGGTATGCAAATTGGTAAAGTCCCTCTATGGACTTAAGCAAGCACCAAAGCAATGGCATGAAAAGTTTGACAACACCTTGTTATCAAACAACTTCCAAATCAATGAATGTGATAAATGTGTATATGTTAAACAATGCAAAAATGCTTATGTTATTATATGTTTATATGTCGATGATATGCTTATCATGGGAACSAACTTGGATATTATCAACCAAACCAAGAAGATGCTACATTTCTCATTCGATATGAAAGATATGGGAATAGCTGATGTTATCCTTGGTATTAKAATTCAAAAAAATTCTAATGGTTACATCCTGTCTCAATCAYATTATATTGAGAAAGTTCTCYGAAAGTTCGGACACTATGACGATAGACYGGTGGTCACTCCATTTGATCCATCCAGTCAATTAAAGAAAAATCAAGGAGATAGTGTGTCCCAACTGCAATATACTCAAGTGCTTGGGAGCTTGATGTATATTATGAATTGTACTAGACCCGATCTAGCATACTCAGTGAGTARACTTAGTCGCTATTCACAAAATCCAGGTAAAGATCATTGGTTTGCACTAGTGAGAGTGCTCCGATATCTCAAACACACCGTGAATTATGGATTGAACTATACAAAATATCCTCCTGTTCTGGAAGGTTATTGTGACGCCAATTGGATTTCCAACWGTTCAGAAAGTAAGTCCACAAGTGGGTATGTCTTTACACTTGGTGGAGYAGYAGTATCGTGGAAATCATCAAAACAAACGGTAAATACACGCTCAACAATGGAAGCAGAATTTGTGGCTTTAGACAAAGCAGCGGAAGAAGCTGAATGGCTTAAAAGCTTCCTAGAAGGTATACCATTGTGGCCGAAGCCTGTCACCGTTATTTGTATACATTGTGACAGTATGGCCGCTCTAACAAGAGCAAAGAATCAGATATACAATGGTAAATCAAGACATATAAGGCGTCATCACAACACTATACCTGATTTGCTAAAGAATGGAATCATATCCATTGATTATGTAAAGTCAAAGGAAAACATAGCCGATCCTTTGACGAAAGGGCTAAATAGAGAGCAAGTCATATACACATCGAGGGGAATGGGCTTAAAGCCAATTCAATGAGTTATAAACCGGCGGAAACCTAACCTAGCAACATTGGAGATCCCATGGTCTAGGTTCAATAGGCCAACTARTTGGGGAAAACTCAAGATGCAATCTAACACACATGTATGCTCATTCCTATGATATTTTTGTGTGTTTCCGTTGACGATTAAAGKTTGAATAGTACTTCTTAATAATGCTAATAGCTTTAACAGTGGGACAATASGGAATGTTCTTGATKGGCATTACCTATGTGAGATTGATGTTTGGTCGCATCTATGAGGACCGAGATGGCTACATTMTCTAAGAATCTCATGAAGAAAGGATACGTTCAAGACCGAAATGAACACAACCGTAAGAGTTACACTATGTGATAGATATGATRTATGTGATACTTGTTGTCTAGATTTACTAAACAAAGTGGTTAGTTCAAGACATTGTTCACTACCCACAAAGTGGATCCAATTTGTACTCACTATGAAAGGTTCAAATCCAAACGACACCTTTTCAAATGTATGTCACATCTTACTTCCTGGAATAGAACACTATGTCCTTTGTATTGCTTATTTTCTATTCAAATGTGGGCTATTATTAGTGTTTGAATAGAAAATGTGGGGTATTGTTGGGATTTTACTAAGGGAATTGATCCCACATAGGAAGGAGAGGGAAAATTGGAGAGGTTTATAAGGCTAATTCTATAAGCCTTGTCAAACTTGAACCAAGACCCATGTATTAAGCTTGGTGCTTGGTATATACATTAATGGTCAAAGATAGGGCCTTGGGCCTTGGGGTCTCGGGTCTCTTCAACGACAGTGGCAGAACCAGTGTTATAGACAGCCGTAACTGTTCGTAATCGGTTTTCGGACAACCGCCACGTAACCGCCCATAACTGCCTTGATTCCTTCCCGGTTTTCCCCACCATATACGATCCATGAACACATAGGAATCTCGCCAGATTCACGTTCTCGTGCAAGAACGCGAATTAGATAGTTGTATCCTCTAAACGGACGCTCGGACTACGTACGAGTAGGAGCGAAATTCTGTTTAAGGACACTGCAAAAGCAGGCCTCTATCTGTTCATCTTCGACCGTCGGTTCCAAGTATGTTATCTTACTTTACATGATACGTATTTGCTATATGAACATATATATATATATACACGTTTTTTGTCATTTTGGTGTACGTAAACATTCACTCTAGTATATGATAAATCCGGTGCTATAACACAAATTCTAACAAACTCTTCATAATAACAAACGATTATCAATCTATTCAAATTAACCACTTATGAAAAAACATCCGCTGTTTAGATTGTATCTCACTAATAGTAAATCGAGAAATTATATTTTATCTTTGTTAAAAAATTTATCGTCATCACACACAGGATCTATGGGAGTTATTTAGAACGAAATCAACCACCATTTAAATCKTCTCATAATCACTAGAGGGCTCCTCTAACTATCAACTTCACCGTATGAAGGTTTAGATTAGATGGCGAAAGAATTGGGTGAAAAGAAGAGTTAAGATGAGAAACATAAGAAATGATCTGGACACTTGATCACCTGTAATCTCAAACTCACCCATGAATCACACTTAATACGTGGATTATCTGGTGCATCTCATCTTAATGTGCATCCAAAGATAAAGATCTCTTCCTATGCTTATATCCTTAACTCTGCTTTTCATCGAATCTCAGCCCTACAATAGATAGCCATACTAATAGAAAAATAAAATTGCATTTAGATGGTGTAGTTGTAATTTGTAAACCTCAAAAATGTGCTTTTATTTGTATTTTCTTACTTTTYCTCGCACTTTATCAATATGAATTATATCCAAAATCAAAATTCTACAAAACCCAAACAAACTGATTCAAACAAATAAAACCAGATTTCTTTCTTCCGGTTACCGGTTTGACGGCTCTTCGCATTCGGTAAACGTCAGTCTTTTCCTTTTTGCTCCCACCGTTKGGTTTTCGAAACTCTGTGTCAAATCCGGTTTGGATACATTAACTTCAATTGTTTGAAGTTCCAACATTCGGCTATAACAAGCATGCACATCCTCCTATTTCACGACATTATCCAATGAATCGTTAGCATTTCATTTATCTAAATATAAGCCAATTTAAATTATTAAAAATCAACAAATAATATAATTTGGTTAAACAACTATTTTAATGATACATTTTATAATCATATTTAATATGCTAATTATTTATAAAATTCAAGAAAGAAAAAAAATRTTACATTGTCTTCTCAAATCAAAATTTTTTGATGGATCATGAATTTTATTCACTTTACCTAAATTTATTTAACCTATTCCCCCAACTTACTTTTCGGTAGGAAAAGTAAATACACAATTAAGTTTTTATAGAGTCTAATTTCATTYCAATTTATATCCAACAAACATAGGATGGAAAAACTGTTCCTAAGGGTACATATGATTGTACTTAACATAGTAGATGATAAAGTATTTAAGTAAAATAAGTTGTTATATTTATTAATTATGAGTCAAACATGTAAAAATAAAACTCTAATGTTTAATTAAAATAAAATAGGTAAAACAGTTTAAAGTCATTTAAKGTGATTAAATTCGTACAGCCTTCTAAATTGATTAGGATAATAATTATTAAAATCAAACTTAATACATCATAAATTCCATAATGAACAACAAAACGTTGACAAGTCAATCAAACATGATCCAACTAGGATAAACAATCATTATCCATTTGACTTGGATCCATTCTGTTCTACTATCTACTCTATTCGTTTTGCCACCTATACATAAAATAAAGGCAKATATGACACATAACATGTTGATGGGATATAAATATACATCCTTAACCCAACACCTTATAATCGGCTAATCCCATTTAATTTTTTTGCACAAATTGATTCCAAACCCAACATTAATTTGGTGTTGCTTAATRTATAACATTTTAATTTACTTGGATGGTAATAGTACATTGTAAATTACATTAATATTAATTTATGATACATAATTATTTTTATTTTTATATGTTTCAAACTTATTTAAGTATGTATTATAAA